TAGGCCACACACATCTACAGTGACTCGCCAGAAACTTCGGGAGCTTGGTTGTGAAGTTTTAATGCATCTGCCACACAGTCCGGACTTGGTACCAAGCGATTATCATCTCTTTTTTGCATTGCAAAATTTCTTTAATGATAAAAATTTGGAATCTAGGGAGGATTGTGAATATCGACTACTAGAGTTTTTTGCAAATAGAGACCTGGACTTCTCTGAGAGAGGCATTTTGAAGTTACCTTTAAAATGGCAATAAATCATACAACAAAACGGTGCATATTTGACCCAAATCGGACAATCCGAAGCATGTTAAATAAAGTCCTGAAGTTCATATAAAAATATTGGATTTCTTTTTCCCCAACCTAATATAAGAAAAATCAATTTAATTGAATGCGAATGTGCATTTAATATTTCCCTCTTTAGGTAATTTTTTATTTGGGGAAATTACTTAGCTGAAATGAACTAGATTTGCGATTTTCGCTACAATACTTTATTCATTGAGTAATAAGGTTCCTTTCATTCTGTTTGTCTACATTCTCATAAACCGCGAATAAAGAAATTTATAGCCGCGAATATGGGAATTGGTCGCATTTTCTTCATCCACGAATAGTGAAACCGCGAATAAGGGAAGCGCGAATAGGGAGCTTTTAAGGAGATTTATAAGATGTTGCGCATACTTCTTAAGTTTAACCAACATTTTAATTGATTTGATTTCATTGAAATAATCAAAATGATGAATGACACTCACACAACATTCACTGTCTTCGTCTATTAGTAGTCATAACTGTGTTGCGTTTTTGTTGCTCATTATTAGTAGCCAAATTAGCTCAATTAAACTTGATTAAACATTATTAAACATTTGAAAAATAAGCATAATTTCACATGAAAATCATATTAAACCGTTCTCTTGGTGATAATGGATGTAAGTTGATTGCAGCGGAGAGTCGCAACGGAGTTCGGTGGGTGTACGCGCGAGTGAAGGTAAGAGGACGGGTAATATTTGCTGACGGACAACAGACCTCACAAACGGGCTTACACAATGTGAACTCATTAAAGATTTGATTGGACCTTTCCTTTTTTTTACCCTATTTCAAGTTCAAATCTTTTTTCTCATTTTCATTTTAAAATTTTTTTTTTTTGTCATGCGGCATAGCACGCCTGTATAAATTTATGAACGCCCTGCCACGCAAAGAGCTAGGCCCGTTGACAAACCTTACGTTTTTCGACCGAGAGGTCGTTTATCACTTACAGATGGATAGACGGACAAGTATGCTTAGATCGACTCTTATTTTGATACTGATTAAGAATGAACTTAATGAGATCAATAAACGTTCCCTCTGAGCGTTGCAAATATATTGACGAAACGAGAATATCTCCAAACTTTCAGTCGTTCGCAACTCAAAACTCAATTCAGACAGTCTTCGCAAACTCGTAACGATGTAAATGCCAACAGTTTTTCGATAAAGTTCAACAGTATTTAAAGTACGCGTGCTCGCGGTAGAAACTCGCGGGTTCGGAAGCCAGATAGCTATCGAGGCATTTTCAGACATCTTCCACCGATGCGATGCTAAACCTGATTGCATGGGTCTTAATAAATGGCACTCGGAAGGGACCAGATTCGAAGAGTATTGCGCGTGCATTGAGACTCTTTAGCCTAAGCTGAGAATTATTTCCTGGTTTGTTATTGCAGGAGAAAGATGGACGTATGTGAATGTTTATCGTTTTCATGACTACAATTGTTTGCCCAAAATCTCGTAAATCTCTTTTTTTTACTACTTCGGAGCTTATAGCATTTACCTTTCAAGCCAACTTAATCATTTCGCTAGTAGGTCACATCGAAAATTGCAAGCAAGAGCGGACCGGAATTCATAGCTAGCCATTGCCTTACGTAAAGTATGTTCTTAAATTTCTTTTGATAAGATAAATTCTCTTTATTGAATTCCTTGGAACCCTACATGTATTAATTATTCTGCAGATGTAACTTTTGAAAATAAGAAACATATGACTGCTTGTTGCTCTGCATAGTACTGCATAGATTAATGGAAATCTTTTTTGCTTTGTCGGTGAAGAACTAACTCTCTAAGGCTTACAGGTCACAACCAATGCCAGCGGCTATAGACAAGGTGGCAGCTCTTAGAAGAAAGAGAGAGATTTACATTTTCTTCAGGTTAACTCAGTTAAGAACACCGAAAAACGTGGTACCGTAACAATAACATGCATCTCTTTAAACTTTGATACGCACCGAACGACAGGTAGTAAGCAACAAAAACTTCCAGCGTCCAAACATCGATATCTAAATTATCTACACTCGAGAACGAAAAAATCGCACAGCCCTCTCGAACCTAAATATTTATTAATTTAAATGTGGGAGGCAAACATAACTTAAGTTAAACTGAAGTACACACTGATAGCTTTTGAAAAGTACATAATGCTTTCTCTTTTCCTGATGTTGAAAAGGTTCTGAAGGTAGTCTGGAGGGTTTATCGAATTGGAGGCTATTCAGGACAAGATAATGGATACAGTGGGATACAGGATAATGGAAGCAGCGTCTCAAGGTTACACTGATTGAAACTGGGCAGAACCAAAGCCAAGTTGCGCAATATTTAAATTTAAGCCGATATGCTGTTCAAGCGACTGCGACGAAGAACGACTAGAAAAACATGTCACGGCGTCTTGATCGGTTGTTTTCACTTCAGCTCGGGCAGCAGCTCCACGAAGTTAAACGACGGACGCAATCAAGCGAATTGACTTCTCGACACTACATCGAAGATATTCTGGACGAAGACGTAGCGCGTTCTTAGTGATTTATCACTGCTGTAATGCGTCACCACTTGGAGGGGGTCGATGTGCCAGTTATGGCACAGGCTGCTCGAAGCCCAAATCTCAATCCTATTGAGTACCTATGGCATGACCTGAAAAGATGAGTACGAGCCGGAAGCACGACGCCTGATTCTTACAAATCGGAATAGAAATCTTCAATTCAATCTGCAAACGTTAGGCGTTGCCTTGGAAAAGTAAACAACTTTTGACTATCATATCGTTAATATTTTTTGCATGTGATTTATTATTTGAAGTATATATTTTATATTATTATTATTGTTGCTGTTGTAATTATTATTTATTATTATTATTAATATTTGTAGGCAGTATCTTTCTTTGAAGAACATTTCATTTATTCTGTTTCTTTTTTTTTGGTTTTTTGTTGTTTTCTCTTTAAATGACATTTATGTAATGAACATGTTTTGTTGTTGTTGTGGTTGTTATTATTATTATTATTATTATTATGCAAGTAGACATATTTTATGCGTGTATATATGTATGTATATAATAAATATTTCATCATTATATATATATATATATATATTATATGTATAAGTATTTACTATATATATATATATAATTATTATTCACAAAATTGTCTTTCATTTATTTAATTATAATTATAATTATGATTTATATTTGTATATAATTATCTGTTATTTCATCTTCTATTTATTCTTCTTTATTTCTGCATATGTATTTTTATTTATATAATAACGTATTTTTTTATTTATATTATTTTTTTTAAATAATTTATTATTTTATTTGTATTGATGCGTTTCATTTGCAAAAAATTAAAAAAAAAAGTTTTTCTTTCTTGTTTTCATGTAGTTTTTAATGGCTTAACAATTTTTTGTTAAATTTTTAATTTAAAAAAAATTTTTTTTCTCTTGCGATTATATAATTATAATATTATTAATAAAAAATGAAAAATGTTTTCAATAGTCTGTATGTATATAATTAATATAGTAATGGTTTTTTTGGTTTTTTATTTATTTATTTATTTATTTATTTTTTAATATTTTTAACCATCTTAGATCACTTTTTGTTTTTCTTCTTAATAAAAAAACTTATGGTTTATGAATTATTTTATTAATGTTAATTTTATAATAATTTATGAATAATTTTATACGTATGTATGTTATGTTAATTGTATTCATATTTATTAATAGTATGATGGGATTTTCTTTTGCGGTATATTTGTGTGGTAT